GTTGGATGTGTATGTGCTAATGTGATTTTGGGTATTCAATGGCTATCCCAGTTAGGGCCAATAATTTTAGATTTTCAAGCTCTTTACATGACTTTTTATTATTTAGGTTCTCTCATCACCTTACAAAACGATTGTCCTATCAATCCATCATCCATCTCTTATAGCCAATATTATTGATTGGTCCACACCAAAACCATTGCCTCAACTCACTTACTGTCTATTACAGTAAAATTTTTTAGCATTTAGTCATATTTTTTTAGATGTATATATGTTTAGTTAAAACTTATGTAAATATAGGATTACATTGATTTTGTAAAGTCCTGTACTTATTTTAGAATTTGTTTGAGTACTTCTTGAGGTGAAATCATAGACTACACTTAATTAGAGAGATGATTTAGGCTATTTTTGGATCATTTGAGTCTTTTCAAGCTAACATTTCATATTATTTATCTTTCGTCACCCCATTTGAGTTTTTTATATATCTTTTCCTTGTTTTTAACCTACATGAATTAGCCACCCTTTGATTTATTATCTTTATTTATCTTTTTACCTTATCTTATGTGCATATGGATCAATAAAAAAAAAAAAATATGAGAGCTATATTTCATTGGGATGGAAGGGTAGAGTTTGAAAAAAAAAAAACAATATACAAAATTCTATTTGCAAACAATAAAAAAAAAGTTGAAAACATCTTTCAAACAAAGAAAAATAGACTTCAAAAAAAAGAAAAAAATGGAAACATGAAATAGCAAAGTACTTATGCAAATCATTGATAAGTTGCTATTTGAGATGAAAAGAAAGGAGAAAGAAAGAAATATATAAGTTTGGATGTGTACATTCTCTTGAAAGCTCTCAAATTAAAAAGATTCTAAGTAATGCATGTTTAGGGTTTATTAAGTTTAAATTTTTCTTTATCATACCGTAACCCTAGCCTTACATTACAAATTTAATAAAGACCTATTGATCTTTAGTTAAGTGTGGCTACATTAGTATAGAAAGTATGTGAAAAGCAAATTTATGAAATTTGATCATGCTTAATTAAATGTATTGCATTGATATGAGATTGATTATACACATAAATAGAAATTAGCAATTGGAAGGGAGCTTATTCTTGAAAGAGTCTTATGTTTAAGCTACACTTGTGATTTTCTCCAAATTATATTCATTATGCAATTTTGAGGGACTTATGAGAATCTAACCATGGGAGTTTGTGCTATGATCTTTAGCATGTATTTTTTTATCTAGTTTAGTTTTATTTTGCTTGAGAACAAGTAAAAATTCAAGTTTGAGAGTCTGATAACTCTATAAAGTACAATTATTTAGACTTGTTTTTTGTGCTTAAATAAATGAATTTGCTAGTTCTTGGTAAAATAAGATGGTTTTTTACTTTTAATGTGCTTAATTTGATAATGTATTGGTAATTTTGAGGAAAAAAGAAAATCTTGTTAAATCTTGAAAAATTTTTGAAAAATCATACCTTAAATTGGAAAAAGCTCATTTTACTCGTAGTTTTCCTACTTAAAGAAAATTTTTCACTTTTACTTGGATTCTTAGTTTGATTAGGATATCACACTTTGTCTTGAAATTTCTATATTGACTAAAAAACCTATTTGGTGAAGCTAACTTAGGGAAGGTTTTCATAAGTTGACTAGGAAATCCTTGGTTGACTTATTATTCCTACCTAAGATAGGATTGCATGAGATAGATAGATAAGGACAACACATTAAATATAAAAGCCCAAGGTGGTGTCCAAGGCAAACCCAATCCAAGAGGTGGTCCAAATAGAGCTTAAAATATTATAAGGGTCAAGTTTGGTAGGCTATTAACAATGATGGACAACCCAATTCTTTTTTCTTTAAAAAGAGTCCTATATGAAGGCAAATTGTTAGAAGTCTCTAAGAAGCACTAGACTTATCCTAAGTTGCAAATTTTTTTCTAGAAGGTTGCTTAGGGTTCAATTCAATTGAGAAACTTTTCTTTTCTTTTGAAAAACTCTAGTTACACATCATTCTTCAATTTTAAGAGATTAAAAGTTAAAAAAAATTAAGCAGCTGGAAACTTTAAGACTTTAAGTTGCCTAAAGACTAACAATACATGAGTTTTTTCAAAAGAAAGTTGCAAGCATTTCAAAGTCAAGACTTTGAAAGCTGCTTAAGGAGTTTAAAAAAGAAAAATCTCTTCTAATTCAAGAAGGTTGTTGCATCTCACTAGGCTTTTTGTAATCTTTTTTCTTATAAATAGCTAGCTTTATAGGATTTATAGGATTTTTATTGTTTTCTTATTCTTTTAATTTCTTTTTAGTTTTAAAGCTTAGAGTGACAGACCAACCATTATTCTTTTAAACTTTCTTACTTTGTTTTCTTAAGTTTTCAATTTAATTCAATTTCTTTCAATTTAATTTAAATTCTTGCAAGTTTAATTTAAGTTTTCAAACTATGTAAATTCTTTTTTGATTTAATTTAAGTTCAAGCTCTATAATTTTCTATTCTTACTATTTACTTTAATTTATTGTTTTAATTTAATTCAAGTTTAGTTCATGCAATTTAAGGTTAATTTAGTTTTACTTTAGATTGATTTAAGGTTTCTCAAGTTCAATTTAGTTGTACAATTTATAATTTCAAGTTATTAGATTAGGTTTAATTTTTATGTATGATTTAAAGTTTAATTTGCTAAGTTCAATTTTGTTAGTTGCAACTTAAATTTATTTACATTGTTTATGATTCAAAAATGTTAAATTAGGTTTAATTTACTATTCTTAAGATTTCATAAGTTAAATTAATTTTGTTAAGTTTAATTTCAGTTTTAGTTTTAGTTAATTCAGTATCTTTGTATGATAATTTAATTTCTTAAGTTGTTGCATTAGATTTATTATTTAGTTCAAAAAATATAGAGTTAATTATTGTTTTTAGATTGGAACTTCAATTTGCTTTTATCTAAATTCTTTTTGTCTGTTAAGTTTTAACTTTATTTACAATTTTGATTTATTTAAACTGCTATTTAAGTTTAATTCTTTATTTTTGTATATTTAAATTTTGGTTTTAGGTTTTTAGCTTGTTTAATTTAGTTTTTTTGCATTATTTAATTTATTGTTTAGCTTAGTTTAGTAATTAAAATTAGTTCTTGCATATTAAATATTGATTAGTATGAATATAATTTAGGTGTTACAATTTTGGTATTCAATATTAATTTTATTTACAATTCTCATGAAAATGATATTTTATTCATTTTATATTCCTTGTTACGATCCATGTACTTGCGGTCATAATCAATTTGCTCTCTGTAATTGTTGTTTTCTTCATTTCCCTTGATTTTTGTAGTTTTTATTAATTTTTATAGATACTTAATTTCAAGGCAAAAAAGATTCCAAATTCATAAAAGTTCTGATTAAAAAGGAATTATTATTTTAGTAAAATTTCAGTCGTAAAAGAATTTCATCCTCTAAAAGAATCATAATCCAAGACAATTTCAAACTTTTTCCAATTTCCCTTTTTCTTTTATTTTTCATTTTTTTTTCAAAAAAATAAATAAAATTAAAAATTAAAGGAAATAGTCCAAATAAAATAAGAAGGGAAATAGAAAGGAAAACAATAAATTAGACCATAATTTGGGATATAAACCCAAACCAAAAATTGAAATTCAAATAAGCCCAAAAGCTAAGCCCAAAATAATAATATTGTGAATTAGGTCCAAATAAAGTTGAACCCAAATTGACAAACCTTAAGCTCAATTCATTGGATTGGATTAGAAATATACCTCCAAGACTCAAAAATATTTTAAAAGATTTAAGATTAAATGAAGTGTTTACACTTCAATTTTCAAAAATGAAATGATTGATACCTTAGTCTCTAATGTTTAAAATTTTTAATTTTAAAATAAAAGAATTGATTGCCTAAAGCAAGAGATTGAATTTTCTTGTATAAATAAGTTTAAATCAACTTGAAATTGAAAACTCCAACATTTATATTTCACTTTAAATTATCCACAATAGCTAGAAATCATATCACATTATAAAAAGAAGTCTCTAACACTTTTCAAGAGTAACAGATACCATTTAAAAATTTTGGAAGTTGATATTCTTCATTTTAAGGTTATTTAAAGTGTTTTTGACCTTCTAGCTTTATTCTTTGTATGCATTTATGATCTTTTCATTGTATTATCTTTTCAATATTATACCTAAACCTAATAAACAATTACCTATTAAAGGTTTAGATTTGTAAGTCAAAGGAGATAGACCCTTGAGTGAATTGTATTAGGATTTGGATAGAAATCTTAAGGAGTTTAGAGGTTACTACATAAGTTTTGAATCCTAAAGATTAGAATTGTAAAGGCTGCACATTTGCCTAGGAAATGTAATTTGTAAGGTTTGAATCACTAGTGAATCAAGAGATTCTTGACAAAGAAAGCTAAAGAAAAGAACTTATAAGTACCTTGAAAAAGGGTCCACCTCTCTGAGCCTTATGTTTGAATTCTCTTTCTCTACTCTTTAGGTATTTATTCTTGTTTTACGTTACTTGTTTTATCAACTTCCCATAACTTGCTTATTCTTGATTATTTCACAACTTTAAGTTGACACAATCTTTCAAGTTTGGACTACAATTTGTTATCAATATGTATTTTTTATATGAAATTTCTGAATGATTAATGTATAAATAAAAAAATTAATAATTTATACTATTATAACCTTTAACTAAATTTGGTGTCACCAGCTAAGTGATACTAAGCTAAGAGAACTAAAAAATAAATAATTAAATAAAATTACCTGTGCATTAATAAATATAGGTTGGTATTTTTATTTTTCCTTCAAAATAAAATTTATATTTACAAATTTTAATATTTGTGTGCCTATCTTTTCTACTTTTTAAAATAATTGAATCATTGAATTATTTTCTTTTTTTTTTTTTTCTCATTCATGTTTTTAGATAACCTAATTCTCTATATATTTTTTCGTTTAAATCTTTAACTATAAAATTGTTTATTATTTTACCATTGATTAAAATGGCCAAACAATAACAATAAATAGTTTTTTGGCCGAATAAGAATAAATAAAAGTAAAAAATTTATTGGCAGGAGACTACGAAAGGAGGTGCAGATCTAGTTTTTAAGCATACAGTCACAACTGTGAGATAGAGTCAAACATAGATTGAGAGGTTAAGAGCTTCAATGGCGATAAAAATCTTGATAGCGTCAATCTTAGTAATTGCAGCATCTCTCTGTTGGGTATCGTCGGCTGATTCGCCTGAAGCAGCTTTCGTCCAAAAGACCATCTCGGCCCACAAGATCGTCATCTTCTCCAAGTCCTACTGCCCGTACGTTTTTTCTTCGCCTCAATTCAGATCTTATTCATTTCATCTCTAAAACAAAAAAAAAAATCAATTAATTTGTTTTTTATTTAAATTTTATTTTCGATGTTTTTTTTTTTAATTTCTTTGATCTTATATTTGATTCACTTTTTCCCCTTTTAAGTGCATAAGTAATACTCTGTTCATTGTTATAATTGAATAATCCAAACATTACTTATATTAATTTATATTGGTGACTAAGTTTGAATTTTGGACTAAAAGTTATTTTGATTTGGAATCTGTTGCTTATTTTGGTGTTGTGCAGGTACTGTAGGAGGGCAAAATCTGTGTTCAAAGAGTTGAACCAGGTTCCATTCGTTGTGGAGCTTGATGAACGAGGTGTGTTGACAACTACATTCCATTTTACTAATTGCAGGACAAACCTAGATTATTGTTGTTGAGTTAAAACTTTTGGTTTTTTCGTAAGATAAAAAGCTGAAAATTAATGGGTACTATAACTGCAAGGCCTAGATACTAACCAGACCAGTTAAGTGGTTGCCCAGCTTATTTAGTGGCTGTGGTTAGACCGGCAATTTAAAGCGCAAAATGGTGACACGATATGAAACGAAAAAAAGAAGATACGAAGTTGACACCAGTTCAAATTTTAGCAAAAAAATCATATATGAATTTAACAAAAACAAAAAATTGTATTTTGTGTTTTCCGTGTCAACACAAATTGTGACACCTAATTTTCGTGTAAAACACGACAAGAATATATGAATTGCCAGTGTTTTACATGGCAAGATTATATGCATTTCCAAGTCTAGCTGCTGTTTTGCCTAGTTCTACTAGCTTCAACTAAAACTGATAACAAGTAATTGCAGTTAATCCTTTATAGTAGCTTCATATTGACTTGTGGAAGTTGATTCCTCGATTTGATCTTGAAGTAGTTGCTTATGTATTTGACAGATGATGGGTGGAACATTCAGGATGCCTTGAGTGAGATTATTGGTAGGCGTACTGTACCACAGGTTTTTGTAAATGGAAAGCACATCGGAGGCTCAGATGGTAACTTGCTTTTCTTTTCGAACAAATTTAACTTTCCTATCTTCGTGCAATGGAAATTAATATGTTTGTAAGACAGAAGCAGTAGAGAAATTATTGATTATATTTCTAATTTTCAGATACTGTTGAAGCATATCAGAGTGGAAATTTGGCTAAGCTGTTAGGTATTGAGGTAGAGGCTAAGGATGATCTCTAAGTTCATTTAGCAGAAGTGGATGCTCTTTTCTAGAGTGAATTTTGATTTCATTGCCTGTAATGTATCTCCTTCTTTTACTTCAAGAAGGTGAGGACTTAGTAAAGAATTAGTAACTCAAGTAAGATCTAACATGTTATTATCTCAAATTTGCATTGGTGATTTGTTTTTCTTGAAATTTTTGTAGATTATGGAGCCTGCTTGCATTAATTGGATCATGTGTTAAATGATTCATGGCTTTTATAAGGATAATTATATGCCTCACCCTTCACACTTAGCATTGTGTTAAAATGAAGAGCACCAAGCCCTGTTTCAACCTCTAGAAGCAGGAGCTATAGGAACGTGCTTAGATTTTTTTTTTTTTCATTTTATTTGGCTGTCACAATTAGATTTCTTACTCCATCATGAACTATTTAATTTTAATACCTTGTTTTGAAGCTACGCCTTTGCTTTGCATTACTTTTGATTATGCTTTAATTATACCATTCACATCCATAGAGTTCACAGCTCATGATTGATTCCTACATACGTGAGAAGTGGTAATAAAAATATTGAAAAGAAATTGACAAAAAAGTATTTGGTGGGGGGGCATATCCATCGTATCATTCCTAACTAATTAATAATTGAAGGCAAATTAATATGTTTTGGATTACTTATTACAATGCTAGTATGAATTCGCAAGATAGATTTGCTGATACTTTATGAACCTGTAAACATCTATTTGTTGATCCATTATTTGAATTGTTATCGATCTTTTTCGTCTATGGAGCAATTATTAGACTGTTTCAGAAACTTCAAACTTTAAGTTAAGTTCTAGGATTCTTGGTGGTTATCTAAGGATTAGGCAAGAAAAAAAATTTAAGGGAGAACTTTTACTAGTGTAAGTGGGATTCTCACTCCTTGTTTTTTTACAATAATATGTGTCTATTTATATTTGACATATCACAGTCTTATCAGAGATATGCTTGGAACTCAACTTTTATTAGGAGTTAGATACGCCTATTTAAGGAGCATTTCACCTACAATTCTTTTTACTACAATCTTACATTTGTTCTATCATAATAAAGAATTATGTAGGAGTCATCCACTTATAAATGTGAGCTCCATATAAAATTTTGGTGTACCTTACATTATTCTGAATTGTGATTGGTTAATTGTATTACAATTAGTGTAGATAATATGCTCCGCCTATTTAAATGTATTAACAGGTTTGAACCAATTTGATTGGACTTGTATGTCAACTTCTCTAACACAAAAGATATTGGGTATCAATGTATGCTATCTTTGAAAATGCTATAAGTTGCAATTATCTTTCATAAAAAAATCAAAATCATGTGACTAAACAAGAAAGACTTGTTTGATAAGTGTTATATCAAATTTATAAAATTTTCCACTACAATATCAATTTTAATGAGCTACTTGGTTTTAAATTTTTGTTTTATTGTGTAGAAAAGAATTTCTATTAATTGGATCTTTGTATTGTGGGATTATCATTTGATGATTCATCTGGGGTTGGTGTTGTGATTTTAAGATGATCGGTTGGGTGTTTAGAATAGGTGTATGATGTATAAATAAAAAATTCTAAATTTTTTTCTTTTGTTATCAGAACTTTTGAGATACAAAGAAGATAGAGAGAAGGAAAACGAATGGAACAGAGATAAAGGAGTGGTTTGAAAATTTAGAAATTATGGCAAGATAATTATATGATAAAAATATTTGCATTTATATGGTAGAATCTGCAGTGAAAAGAACAAAAAAGGAGAGCAGAAATGGTAGAGAATGGAGAGCAAAAAAAGATGAGAAGAATGTACTGAGAATATTCCTTGTTTGTTTTCATTACATTCCTTCCTAAATAGCTTGCTACTAGCTAGTACAAATCATTTTTTCTCAGCAATTATCTCGCTGTTGGTTTTAGTTATCTAAGGTCATTCCTATTTGTAACTTTTCAAGAATTTTGGGTTTTCATCCCATTGCAAACTCTTTGATCCAAGCAGGGGTTTTTTTGCTACGATTGGAGCGTTGGCCTCCGGTGACTAGCAAGTCCCATGCCCCTGACTCGGGTTCATATCATTGCTTTCCCCTTCCAGTGCAACCTTGTCCTCAAGTATGAAGTGAGGATAGTTGGCTGCTATATCCTGTTCACATTCCCATGTGGCTTCTGTATCTGGTTGATGTTTCCAATTCATTGGTTTGGTGTCAGGCAACACATGTATATATAATGGTCATGTGCTCGAATAGGAGGAAGACCATGTGGAATGTCAAGTATTTTCTGAAATTTGGAGAACAAGTGGTGTAATGCTGGAGTTTTCGGAGCTATTGGTTGGTGGGTGGGTGGATGGAAATGGTGTGGTAGTGTGATAAGCCATTAGCTTTTGGTGTGTATCAAACGACTAGGTTGGCTATATAAGAGGAAAAAAGTTTGGATAGGAATATCACCTTTGAGCGTTGGTGAGAAAAAAGGTCATGTAGAGGGCACTAAAATCCGACACAATTGGGCCTAATTGAGACATCCAGTGGATGCCTAAAATAACATTAGATTTGAAGGTCTTCTTGTACGCATCAACTCGGCCATTGAATTGCCTCAATTCTCACTCCACCCTTCTTTCCAGCTTTTTCATCATTGTCAAAACTGGTTCGAGCATAATCTATGGGGTTGACACAAGTTTGAAACTAGTGGATTAAATATTGTAATGCTCTTGTTAGTCGTAGCAGCATTATTTTTGGTATTCACCAAGGCAGAAGTTAGTGTACTCTCGACATGATCACCATTATCATCTAACCAAAGTGCAACGATAACATATGGCAAATTTAAGCATGCAGAGCGAGCCGCTATAGAAAAATTGTCCTCTAGTTTTGCATCTTGACGATATAGGGGTTTTAGTACATCAGTAGGTGTCGTATCAACAGCATACTCAAACAACTCCTTTGTTCGTTTCAGTTTCATTTTCTTGTATCTCTGTGCAAACGTTGGCAGATAAGTGACCCATATAGGCATCTCATACCTATTCTTGAATATCTTGACACCTCTGTGATACACTTTGAAAGCATCTTTAAAATATTTGTTCTCTAACAAAAATGCATGGTTTATAATAATTTGTGGCATGGTAATTCGTAAATCTAGTATTTACCATAGACTACTCTAGTTGACTCCTAAGTATTTAGACTTTCTTCTAAGTCCATATAAAATGTCCAGAACCTTAAGAATTTATGGAGTTTCATCTCAGCAGGTCCATTCCCATAAGCAATTACTCTTAGTTGGACCTCTACAATAAGCTCAACCATGGACCATATTATCAACTCTAGTGCACCTTCGAAATTCTTGTGCCTCAATTCCATCTCTGACCACTCAGTATATGCCCTCGCCGGGTGATCAACAGTCTTGTAATTTACTTGGGCAGCTTGATAAAAATGACACAAACATATGTCAGATCTCTGTAAGTCTCAAGTCCTTGAACATTTGAGCCATGACCAAGATCAATTTATTCTTAACGCCCAATTATTTTAATCTTTTGTGCCATTGGCACCCGTTTCTCTTGTAGCTCTTCAATTCTCTGTCCTTTAATGGCAGGTATAAACATTCCCAGGAAAACACGTAAGGCTGTGGACTAATTCCACTCTGCCACAACAATTTTTTACTTGCAATAGCTCTAAGAGATGCTAAGAATTGATTACCACAACCACAACATTTGAGCCTAAAATTTCGACCTTAGCTAAACAAATGGCATTATATTGATCAAGCTTAAAATTAACAAAGACAACATTAAATCAAGCAACAGTTAAAATTCTAGAATGCCAATTGAACTCAATACCAGTCATTTATAATTCTCTGAACCGCTCGAATCGCATAAAAGTCTTAATTCGTTTTCTTTAGTAAAGCCTTTCGGTTTTGGTAGTTAACATCAGACTTCATATCAAACAAAAATACTACACCGTTCTCTAACAAAACTATATTTTCTTCAAGGAAATGTGGATGCAAGAAACACAAAACATTTTAATAGAATATGGAATGATAGAATCACCTGAAATTTCTTGGAAGTAATTCTGAAACTTAGAGTCGTTGTCTAATTTGACAGTGATGGCTTGTCCATCAAGCTCCTGCATTTTCGGGTATTGCTCCGGTCCATCGGTTTTCGTTGACATTCAGTGCATCTTCAGTGAGCCAAGCTCTTCTAGTGACTGGTTTGGTGAGTCATGCTTTAATGGATCCTTTAGACTCTTCCATGACAGTGTAGGTGTAACTCTGATGACAATGTTCTTTTCCAATGGAGCCATTTGAAGTTGTAGATCATGAAGAGAAGATCTCTGATCGTTGATGATGGAGATCAAATCAGAGCATTCATTGTCAAATTTGGATTCTAATGCATGTCGGAGGTCAAACATTTGGGCAATGAAAGAACCAGCAAGGTTGCAAAAGGCTTCTTCCACAGCAATGCTTGATTTTGGGGGCATGGTGAATGCGGAAGGGCAATGAAAGCACCAATGATAGAATCTACAGGGAAAAGAACAGAAAGGGAGAGCAGAAATGGTAGTGAATGGAGAGCAGAAAAAGATGACAAGAATGAGCAGAAAATTTTCCTAGTTTATTTTCATTACACTCCCTCTTAAATAGGTTGCTGTCAGTTAGTACAAATAATTGTTTCTCAGCAATTATCTCGCTATTAGTTTTAGTTATCCAAGGTCATTCCTGTTTGGAACTTCTCAAGCATTTTAGGTTTTCATCCCATTACAAACTCTTTGATCCAAGTAGGGGTTTGTTTGCTACATTTGGAGCCTTGAACTCTAGTGATTGGTAAGCCCCATGCCCGACTCATGTTCGTATCATTTTATGCCTATAGATGTGGAGCTCATGTTAGGTATGCATGTGTATCTAGTTTTTCAGCACATGGCAACGGTCATTACAACATAAGCTTACATGACTTACTTTTCTTTTTGGCCAATTTGAAACATTGTATTCTTTAAAAACAATCTAGCACACTTCCGAGCTCAGTCGCTACAATACAAAGATAGCCACAAAGCAAAACCTGCATGTTTGGAAGATTTCATAGACTCCATTGTTCCACCTCTTTCGATTTATAATTTTGTTTAGTACATTTGCCAAATCAAATATCATTTGATTTTAGTTGAAATGGACATGTTGATACATGTGAAATCAAAAGGTGACTACACATATCAAAAGAAAGACAATTATCACTCATGACGTGAATTGAAAATTTAACCAAAACAAAAAATTATTGTTCATTCTTTTATAGTGGTGTTTTTAAAATGTTCATTTAATTATTAAATTTTGGGCTTTTTTTTTTGTTATCCAATCGTTGATCTCTAATGGTATGCTAATATGCTCTAAAAGAGTTTTGTTTTTTCACGTACATTATTTTGAAAGGGCATTTGATTCAAGGAAAAGTTAGATTATTTGTCGAAATCTTATTTTTCATAATTTCATTCGTTAGTTTGGTTCATAGAATCTAATTTTTGAAGTTTTCTAAGATTTTTAACAGTGTCAAAAAAGGAGGGTGATAGCATTAGATCAGAAACTAACCTCTCCCTAAAGTTTTTTAAAACTTGGCAGAATGTGAAATTTATCTCACTTTTGCTTTCAATAATAATTTTTTACAATCTATTTTATCTTTGAAAATCAATGTAATTACATGATAAATTGAGACCTACTCCAACGTGCAAAGTTGCATTCCTAGCCACATGATTAGACACCTGGCAATGATCATGTGCAATTAAAGTTTTATAAATTTAAATATTTGTTTTCAACTGGTAGAGTTTTAGAAAAATAATATTTCATAATTATAAACATAGTTGAACTTGTATAAAATAAAATTGAAATAAATTAAAATTTTTCATTTATACAACGTTGTTATGTTAAAAGTGTAATCATATGTTATAATATGTGATGAAAAAATTAATTATAATAAAACATTTTTTTTCTAAGAGAAACATATTAAATTGTTTTAAAATTAGAATTTTGAATATTTTATAGTTTCAGAAGCATTATATTTTTAACATATGAAATGTTATTTACCGTAGAAACGTAGTAATTTTTTCTAAGATAGAAAATACAATTTTTGGTGAAAAGGTAATGTCTCTAAGATAAAAACAGAACTTATGTTGAAATCATAAAATTTTTTTTTTTCAAAATTCAACAAATAGAATGTTTGTAAGATAGAAAAAAATAATCTTTGTGGAAAATATGAAAAAAATATAATTTTTAGAATTTAATAAAAATGACACTTCTAAGATAAATACGTAGTTTTTGTTGAAAAAATAGCGTTTCTAAGATAAAAACATAATTTTTATTGAAAACATAAAAAATATATTTTTTAGAATTCAATAAAAATAATGTTTCGAAGATAAAAATGAAATTTTTGTTGAAAAAATGACTTTTCTAAGATAAAAATGCAATTTTTGTTGGAAATATGAAAAAATTAAAATGTAAAATATTTTTATTAATATTATTACATATAAAATCAAAAATATATTTACTTAATATTTGTCAAAAATATAAAAAATTATTTATCAGGTCACGTATTTTCTTTGTATAACGACAATAACGTTAG